CAGCCTGTAAAAGGATGTGTCCCAGATCATTTTTTCTTTTATGCAAATATTCCAACTTCCACTCTACCTCATCTCCCATTTTCTCAACCTGTAGACTCATCTTTAAAGTACAGTTATAAATCTAATCATGCTAGTTCTAATCACTAGTAAAAATGCCATTGTTTTTGGATAGAAGCCAAAATCCTTAAATGGGTGGCCCATAAGGCCAGGCAGGACTTGCCCCTCTCTCATTACTCTTACACTAGTGCTCTGGGCTACAATCACATTGGTTTTCTCTTAGCATTTGAGAACCAAAATAGTTCCATGTCTTATTAAGGCAAGTACTTTCTAAAAGCTATTTCCTCTGCCTGAAATCCTCTTTCCCCATCTCTCTCCTGGCCAATTCCTCACTATTCTTCACAGTTCAGCTTAATTTTCAATTCTGTTATCATGAGCCTTCCCTGATCTGTCAATATAAATAATCAATTAGAACCCCCTCTTACTGTTTCTTTTAACTCCTATTATCTCTCCCTGTCAGCACTTAGAGATTTTTTTCCTATTAATACTTTAAATTTATTTTTTAATTTATATTAACTAAAATTCACAAATGCATAGTCTTGTAACCACTACCACAAACAAGATACAGAATCATTGGGCCATCCTCAAAATTCTCCTCATGTTATCATTTGTAGTCAGTCCCTCCTCTCCCTCTCAACTCTGGCAAACCACTATAGTTTTGCCTTTTCCAGAATATTATTTAAATGTCATTTAAAAACAGTATGGTACTGGCATAAAAATAGACATATAGATCATTGGAACAGAATAGAGAGCCCAGAAATATATCCATGCATATATGGCCAATTAATTTCACAACAAAGGAGCCAAAAATATACAATGAGGAAAGGACAGTCTTTTCAATAAATGGTGCTGGAAAAATTGAACAGCCAGATGCAAAAGAATGAAACTGGACCAAAAAGTAGATCAAAAGAGATTATCGGTAAAAACATAAACGTAGAACCTGAAACTATAAGCTCCTTGACATAGAACTTGGCAATAATTTTTTTTTAATCTGACACCAAAAGCAACAGAAGCAAAAATAAATAGTGGGACTATATCAAACTAAAAGGCTTCTGCACAAATTCCAGAACCAGATAAAGACATTACAGAAAAAAAAAAGAATTGCAGGCCAATATCCCTGATGAACATAGATGCTAGAATCCTCAACAAAATATTAGCAAATCAGATCCAGCAATATATTGAGAACATCATACACCATGACCAAGTATGATGCAAGGGGTGCAAGACTGGTGCGGTATTCACAAATCAATAAATGTGATACATCACATAAACAAATTGAAAGACAAAACTCACATGATCATGTCAACAGATGAGGAAAAAGCATTTGACAAAATCCAACACCCATTTTTTGACAGGAACTCTCAGCAAAGTGGGAATAGAGGGATCATATCTCAACATAATGAAGGTCATATGTGACAAACCTACAACCAACATCATACTCAGTGGGCAAGAACTAAAATCATTTCCCCTAACAACAGGAACAAGACAGAGTAGGGGGAGAGGGAGCATTCTTGAGTCAATAGAGGAAAAAAGGGGACAAATGTAACACTTTCAACACTAAAGCTTTAAATAAAGGTTAAGCACAAACAAAGAAACTATCAACAAAAAATGGCAACCTACCGAATGGGAGAAAATATTTACAAATCATCTATCCTATCTAATAATAGAGAAACAGGGTAATTGACCATATCTTCGCTATGCCTCCCATTGTCTAATCAGCATGATATGCAAATTAACTGCCAACAAAGATGGAGGTTAATTTGTATACATAGGCTCCAAGCGGCGGAGCGAAGACTGAAAGCAAGCCAGAGCCACGAAGATGGAAGATGGAAGGCAGCTCCAGCAGGGGCTGCGAAGATGGAGGACGGAAGGCGGCTCCGGCCAAAGCGAAGGCCTGGGTCCCGGGTGCCGGAGGAAAACCAGTGCCAGCAGCTAGGGGAAGGGAAGACCTATTGCACGAATCTTTTCGTGCAACAGACCTCTAGTATATATATAAAAGCCTAAGTGAACAAACGACCAGAATGACCAGAACAACTGGTCGCTATGACATGCACTGACCACCAAGGGGCAGATACTCAGTGCAGGAGCTGCCCCCTGGTGGTCAGTGCGCTCCCACAGCAGGAGCACTGCTCAGCTGACCAACCCATCCCAGTGGCCCACCAGCCAGGTGGCAGCCACTCACTCCCTCAGTGGTCCTGCAGGTCCAATCTCCAGAGAACGGGCCAGGCACCAACAAACCAGTGTTGTTGGCACAATCCTGACAGCACTGCTGGCCTCCTGGAAGTCAGCCTCGGGCACCGTGGCTGCTTCCCTTCCCTAGATGCTCCCCTGCCGGAGTCCAACCCCAGCAGGTCCAGGGGTCCCCAAAGGTGTGGATGGAGTCGGCGAAGAAGGAATGACACAGAGACAGCGTTCAGTTGATCAGCAGCCTAGCCAGGATCTCTAGCCAGGATCTCCAGCCAAGTTCTGGTCTGGATCTCCAGCGAAGTTCTGCTGTTTATTGTCTTGTTACATCCATATTTATCCCAGTTGATTTTAATCCTGTCAATTTCTATTACAAAGGTTAGGGCGTTTCTTATCTCCATTCCAGGGAGTAAAGATTATGTAGCTTAAGCATGATTGTTTGTAGTGATTAACTACCCGCCTGGCACTTAGTTAAGGAGTTTCATCCCCTCCCTGACTTCAGGGAAAAATTCCTACCTGGGGAAACAACCTTTCTCCGAGAGGTGACCTTGGTTAAAACACACAGCGCTAAGGGGAGCAAACATATTAAGAACAGTATGCTATATACGCCAGGTCCCTTGAAACATATGCTGTGCAGATGTTTCTTTCCTGCAGCGACTGTGTCAAGCAGCAAGGATGGACCGGCTTCCGGCACTCCCCAAGGAAGAAACAATATAAAAGTAGCCACCAGGTGGCTTCTGACAACCGGTGCAAATGTCAGCGGGACAGATCCAGATCCCAGGCCAGCAAGGGCATCCCACCACCCACCCAGAGAGTCCCTATCATGTCCTTCCCCCCCACCCCCCATGCCCTCGGGACCCCACCCGTGCATGAATTCGTGCATCAGGCCTCTAGTCTGTATATATAAAAGCCAAGTGACCAGAATAACGGAACAACCGGACGACTGAAACAACTGGTCGCTATGACAACACACTGCTGCAGCCAATCAGCCCGATTGGGCCCCACCCAACCTCCCACAGCCTCTCCCCCTGGCCAGCTGGGCCCCCAATCAGCTCCCCCCCATTGGTGCAGAGCCGGCAGACCTCCCACAGCCCCCCGTGGCCAGCCCAACCCTGATCAGGGGTGGGGCTGATGGCCAACCTCCCCATATCTCCTCCCCCCACCAGCCTGGACCCGATCGGCCCCCATTGGGTTGGGCCAGCCAGCCCCACCTGTGCACAAATTCATGCACCAGGCCTCTAGTATATTTAATAAAGACTTAATATGCAAAAAAAACTCAGACAACTCAATAACAAAACAACAAAAATCTGATTAAAAAATGGGCAAAAGATTTGAATAGATATTTTTCCAAAAAACACATACACATGGCCAACTGGTACATGAAAAGATGCTCTACATTATTAATCATCAAAGAAATGCAAATCAAAATCACAATGGTATAAGCCATACCAAAAATATTATATAGCAATAAAAATAATGAATTGCTATTAAAGACTGACATAGATTTTCAACATAATTAAGCAAGAGGGAAATAATATGTAACACTATTTTTGAAAAAATTAAACAAAAAGCAATATTATGCATATTTCCAAGTTGCAAATATATTATAAAATGCACAGAATGAAAAAGGATACTCATCATTTTAATAATGTGGTTACATTCGGAAAGACACTGGATTTGGTAGGGAGCATGGTCAAAGATTTTAATATTCTTAGTATTTTTATTCAGTTCAAGAAGACTGTATTAATTTGGAACTATATATTAATTTAGAAATAAACATTTTTTAAACTCTTTATTGTTGAAAGTTTTACATATGCCTCCCCTTTTCCCCTTGAAATACACATTTTAAAAAATCAAATTGCTTTCTTAATGTACCTAGTTCTGCTATATACATAGATTTCTAATAATCAAGACCAAGTATTTTATATGATGAACAGATAGTATACCCACATGGTTATGAGCATGTGAACTAATTAATCTATACCATAGCGAATATAGAAATCTTCAGCAAAATTTAATCAATTTAACTGTTGATTGACTTAGTCTTATATGCTAATTTCATGACTAAGGCATTTAAATTCTATATAGGTCAGAGTGTTCAAACAAAAAAATTACCTGTTTTTACTTGGGCAATTTTTACTGTTTAAACTGTTTGGAATCTGGTGGATCAGAGACTTGCTTTGTTGGTTTCTGTTATAACGGACTTCATTACATCACAAAGTTTACTTGTTGCTATCCTTTAAAAAACTTCACATCTATAATACCTCAAGTAGGTAAGTCATGAACAACTAAATGTTACATTTTAGCCAATCTGGAAATGTCTTTCTCTTCATTTTAATAAGTACTAGTTACTATTAACTATATATAATACTTTGCCTTATAAATATGATCATTTGCAACGAAAGTATTAGTTTATAAAGAAGAATTAATAAATACTTACTTCTTGGCTAATGGTTAAGAGGATTTTTAACACAATATCAATCTAGAAACACATCTATCTCACTTTATATTTTTGCATTAAATAATTACTATTCAGGGAAATAAGGGAGGGGGTGGTATTTGATGAGAACACATCTCAACTTAAAATGTTTCTTGGATTGAGAAGTTTTATGGTGAATTTTTTGTAAAGACAGGTACCTTATTTTTCCTCCATCACAGAATAAATTTATTTATACTTTATTAATGAAATAAAAAAAAACTTTGCCTGTCATTTCCCTTTTTCATAATAGCTAACATAAATGTGTAACTGATTACTTCCCCAGGAAAGATTTAACAGTGGGATGTATTTCTCCTTCCATCTTCTTTTTTGTCTAGAAACCTAAGAATGAGGATTGTCATCAGTCGTGTTTTTGTCTTATTGTGCCTTTTAGGTGGTGAGTCATTAAAAAAGCATAAATAAATACGAGGGGAATTTTTCTAAGAAGTTACAGAAGCATAATATACGTGGTGTGTGGTCTAATTAAGGTGCTTACAACAAGGCCTGAATAAGCTCTTATACAACATAATATGAGCTAACAAATAAAGTTATAAAATAGAATAGCATACTTCAGAATTAACTATGTAAAGAAACTATTTATTTTACATATAATCTGAAGCTTTAAATTTAATTGTCAAATCAAAATGTATCATGTGTTAAAAATCAACAATACATTTTTAAGACAGAAAAAGACTTAAAAGGAAGTAAATGGGATCTGAGAATATGTGTATAAGTATTCAGGTAACTGAAAATTTACAATCAGCATGAAGGCCTAAAAGTGAAGGCATCTTCTTCAGTCATAATAAAGACTGTGGGAAACAAGGTTTGAAGAAGATCATGGATATTGGGTGTGGAATCAGAGAGAGTAGGGACCATCTGAGAGGGAGAGAAAGAAGGCTGTGACATCAAAAGGTTGGTAGCTCCAGTGACCTGGTGTGGTTACTAAGAACAAGGGTTTGGGATTCCAACAAACACTTTTAAGCCTATCTCTGCCAGTTGAGCAAACGACTGAAATCAGTTTTCTTTTATGTGAAATGTGGGCAACTACAACACCTGCTGGAAAGGTTTATTATGGGAAATAATTGGACTAATACTAGTAAATGGCTTATCAATTGGCATACGTTTAGTTCCTAAAGATATTTGTTGATTGATACTTGATTATGGACTGAAAGTCTGTCATGCTTAATGGGAAAACCAATGTGAAATGTCCAGAGTGTCTTCAGTTGAGGTTGAAACTGGGAAGAATAGTCAGGAGAGGTTAATTAGCCTCATCAGCCAGACTATTTTCTATTAAAAGTGATCTCTTCTAACCCCAACATGACAGAGGGAGATATAAAAACTACACTGCACACAATGTCTAGTAAACTCTTCTTTGAGTTATCAATGAATAGGAGTGAATGGCAATGCTCTTCATATATTACTAGAGGCCCAATGCATGAAGATTCATGCAAGAATGGGCCTTCTTTCTCCTGGCTGCAGGCACTGCCTTCACACTGGCTCAGAGCCGCCTTTCTGCCTTTCCACACTGCCCAGAGGCCCAGAGTGGCTGGGGCAGTGCAGAACATTATGCAAATTAAACCACCATTTTTGTTGGGTTGATTTGCATACTCACTCCTGATTGGCTGGTGGGTGTCATGAACATATGGTCAATTTGCATCTTTCTCTTTTATTAGTGTAGATAAGGGGATATGAACACGAAGATGAATTATAGCTGAATTTCAGAAGAATCTTTCATAATCAGAGCTGGTTTTAGTAGTGATGAGCTCTCTATCACTTGCCAAGGCTCCCTGAGGAGTTATCAAAATGGAGATTCCTGAATTTGGTAGAACCAGTGGTTCTCAAAAACTGGTCTTGATATCTATATCTCAGTCACATGACTTCTGCTGTTTCTGCATGTCTAAAATACAGATTCCTGAGCCCCAACCCCTGTAGATTCTTACTTGGGGGAGGGGGTTCCCTCTGGGAATCTGTGCTTATTTTAACTACTTAAGTAAATCAAATTCAAAATCAATTTTGGAAACAGATCTTCCAGATGATATCTTCCACTCTTATGGATGTTGAGCATGTTTTAAGAATTTCTGGGCTATTTCTACATAACCAAAATGAATAACATTTTTTGAGCCATTGAATTTAAGTATTGAAGATAAGCAATCTATAAACATGACTCAAGCAATAAATACTGACAGAGAATTTACTATGTATAATGTGCTGCTTTAGACATTGAAAAGAAGACCTAATAGTGGCCATATGGCTGAAATGAATTTTTCTGGCTAAATAACTTTGAATTGATTTAATTAGGCACTGAGGAACTAAATACATTTTAACCAAGTAAGTTTTTTAGACCACCTGGCCTAATTTCTAATACTTGCAATTCATGAAATGTAGCATATGTGAAACCAAATTTTTAAAATATTGCTTACTTTTTAAAGTTGAAAATCACTGCTTTATTTTTGGATCTCTCTTTCTTCCCCTATTTTTCCTCTCTCTGGTTTTCATCTCTATTTTCCCCTTCTATTTTCTCTCCAGTCCTTGGAGATGTTGAAGGTGTGATTTGTAGGTTATGCAACCTTTCATTGCCCTTCCATGGATGTCTTTTAGACTTTGGAACCTGCAGAACAAAGCCTGGTCAGTACTGTTTTAAAGAGTATCACATTAAAGGTAAGCCACCTAAAAAAGAGAAAACATTTAAAATGAGCAGATTCTCTGAGCATTTACCTGAAGTACATTACACCCACAAAACAAAACAATGGTATGGGCTGGATCTGGTCACTATCTCCAGTTTTGAAACATGAGAAATCTAAGAAATAGAAAGATTAAAAATTTTGCTTGGCCCTAGCCGGCTTGGTTCAGTGGATAGAGCATCGGCCTGCAGACTGAAGGGTCCCAGGTTCGATCCCGGCCAAAGGCACATGCCTAGGTTTTAGGCTCCATCCCCCGTGTGGGGTGTGCAGGAGGCAGCCAATCAATGGAAAGAGAGAAAGCCTCCTTAACATCCAAAAGGCAAAGGTAAACAAGATGGTAGATAAATTTTAATATATCAATATTTTAAAATGTTTAAATGAATGACAACCCCAAAATGTAAAGGATAAGGAATAAACTGGATGAAAATATTTGAGATATAAATCACAGAAAAAATATTACTATCTATTCAGAATAAAGATCTTCCCCAAAAAACAATTTTTTAAAAGACCAACAATCAAGGGCAAAAATTTAAACATGTTGAAGGAAATGTAAAGGAGAAAATAGAAGTGACCTGACCTGAAAACAAAAATCTGCACAACTCATCAGTGAATATCAAAGAAATGCAAGCTATAGAAATAATGTATTTTAGCCCATTATATTGGTAAAACTTATAAAGGTTTATAATAGCAAGGTGTAGTGAGAGTATGGGGAAATGGGAACTCTCGTACATTGCCAATAACAGCTTAGATTGATTTAGCATTTTAGACAACCTCGTTAAGATTTTAAATGAGCACTGCCTTGTAGAAAGCAATTCTATTTCTTGGTATCTACTGCAGAGAAATAAAGTTACATGAAACACAAAAAAAGACATGTATTAAGGTTATCATTGCAACTTTAAATATATTTTTATTGATATCAGAGAGGAAGGGAGAGGGAGAGAGAGAGATGTAAACATCAATGATGAGAGTGAATCATTGATTGGCTGCTTCCTACATGCCCCACACTGGGGATCGAGCCCATAACCAGGGCATATGCCCTGGCCTGGAAGTGAACCATCTCCTGGTTCATAGGTCAACGCTCAACCTCTGAGCCATGCCGGCTGAGCTCATCGCAACTTCATATTTAATAGTAAAGTAATGGAAATAACCTAAATGTTTGCCTTTAGATGTTACTAAAACTGTGATACATTCACACTATGAAATGCTAGGCAACACTTAGAATGAACTAGATCCCTTTGTTAACATAGGAACATCTCTAAAACATTGTTGAGTAGAAAAAAAGTTGCAAAACAGTATGTATAGTGTACCACTTATGCACAGAAATCTCCACAAAGCAAAACTCTAAATTTCCTAATGGAATTGGAAGAGGAGATCAAATTTAGTTGGGAAAAAGGAATAGAATTCAGGGGTCAAATCTGCTGGGGTTATAGGTTAAGAAGATTTCTTGAGCTTTGTTCACCTTGTCCAGTCTAGATCCCCTCTCTGCACCTTGAGTTCCCCGTGACTTGCACCTTTGCCAGTCAGGGCCCCTTCTTTTTGAAGGAGAAATGTGCCAAGGTGTTGTGAAGTATGGTAGCAACCATTTCAGGTGGAAACTGTAGTTTAACTCCAACCCTGTTGCTTGGCTTAACAATATAAAAGTTACTTTGATTTTCTAAATTGTATAAGTCATCCCATTCGATTGAATGCCTTATCGATTGAATGACTATTCCATTGATTGTTACCATACTGGTCTTAGAGAGCACATTCTACTGTACCTGGAAACGGGACAGCACAATTACCCTAAATTGTTTTAGTGGCCACAGGTGGTGCGTTCCAGCTGACTTAGTGGTCCCGAGACCAGAACAGTATAATTATTCTAAATTGTCCTGACAACTCAGTGGTCGGGAGACCCGAGGGTTCTAGATAATGTATTTCTGTCAATTCAGTGACCCCGAGACCCGAAACTGTAATTAACATGCTTAATTCTGCTTCTGTAATCTGCTTTTTTGGGAGCCAGGTGCCACATTCCAAACCTTGAGATGTAATCAATACCTTTGTGATCTTTGCCTATATAAGTCTGGTTTTGCCACCATCTTATGACTATGAGATTTGGGGAATGGCCCCTCATAGTCCCAGATTGCAATAAATGTGACTCTTTAATTCGACTTCTTGAGGCGTCCTTCTGTGATTCGCGGGGTACATTACAACTGAGGAACCTGGTTTTGCAAAAAAGCAGTTTACAGAAGCAGAATTAAGCATGTTAATTATAGTTTTGGGTCTCAGGGTCACTGAATTGACAGAAACACCTTATCTAGAGCCCTCAGGTCTTGAGACCACTGAGTTGCCAGGAACTCATTATCTAGAGCCATCGAGGTAATTTAGAGTAATTGCGCTGTCCTGGTCTTGGGACCACTGAGTCAACTGGAACGCATTATCTGTGGCCACTAAAACAATTTAGGATAATTATGCTGTCCTGTTTCCCAGGTACAGAAGAATGTGCTTTCTAAAGCCAGTAAGATAACAATCAATGGGATAGTCATTCAATCGAATGGGATGATGTATACAATTCAGAAAACCAAAATAACTTTTCTATAGTTAAGCCAAACAGCAGGGTTAGAGTTAAACTACAGTTTCTACCTGAGATGGCTGCTACCATACTTCAAAGGCTCCCTGGAGTCCCCCTCCCTTCTTCAGTCATCTAGTCAGCTCGACATCAAAACCAGTTGTGTGGGTTTTTTAAAAAATCTTTATTGTTTAAAGTATTACATATATCCCCTTTTTCCCCCATTGACCTCTCCCACCCCTCCCTCACCCCCACCCCAGACCTTCACCACCCTATTGTCTGTGTCCATGCCTGCCTTCCCTCTGAGGTTTGACAGTCTGTTCAAGAAAACAAGTATTAGAGGACTTTGCACAGAAGAGCGAGCCTGGAAGTTTATACAGCACAACATTGACAACAGTTCTTGGTGGGTCAAGGACCTAGTGACTGCAATGTTGTGAAGAGCAGTTTCCTCACTTGGAGATGTTGCCATTGTTAGGTTAGGTGGCTCAGGAGGCGGCGCAAGAAATAGAGTCCAGTGAGTCAGAAAAGAAAGGAAAGGAAAAGGTTTATTCTGCGTCCCCGGGAGACCCACGTACCCCAAGGACAGGGCACGTGGATTCACGCCAACAGGGAGGGGGGCGCTTTTTTTATACTGCGGTTGGGTGAGGGGCGGGGACATGAGCTGAGGAATTCTCTGCTGCAGGGAATGGGCGGAATATTCAGGACGAAGTTCTTATCTGTGTGGGGGTATGTGAATTCAGGGAGAAGAAGCTGGTATCTGTGTCTGGCACCTTGATCTGTGAGAAATTCCAGGGGAAGTCCATTATCTTGTCATGTCTGCATGTATCCGATCCTGGGCTCTCTCCAACCTAACATCCCGGCCTTTTGGTGATAGGGGACGACGACTCTTTCTAGCTACTTCCAGCTGACCACGGGCGGCGTAGGGGGGGCGGTTAAAGGCCAGGGTTTGGCAGAGGCAGGTCGGAGGGGAGCCGAGTGTAGGGATGGAGCAGGAGCTGATTCACAGTCACTCGTGACATCTCCGCGATCCGGGAGTGGATGAACTTGAGGAGGCAGGGGGCTGGGCTGGCCTTGGTGAGACTGACTGCGGTGTGGTATGATAGTCTCTTCTGTGGCAACCCCATAGGTGTTGACATCTTGATTACATCTGTCTGGGTTCCGCTGGTTGTAAGCAAAACACACATAGGGTCAGCCAGTTTTGGACACTGACTGGATGTCGACAGCCATCTGGATCTTTGTCTGACATCCGAACAGAGGGCAGTCCTGAGATCCTACCTGCCGGGTGACTTGTTTGCTGTTCTGGTAGTAGGTTTCATGGACCTTGAACCTCCACACATAAGCGGGTGGGGGTGGGTGTAGGTTGCTCAGGGCCAGGAGGAGAAGGAGGAGGGGAGGGCGGTTAAGGCAGACCTTAGTGGGGCCCAACACCTCACATTTATAGAAGTCATGCTGCTCCGGGGTCCTCTTGAGTCTGGAGAGGTGGTGCCAGGACAGGTCGTCAAGCTGGAGTCGCCAAGCAGCTTGGCCGCGGTGGGGGCTGTGAGGATTACAGTGTGAGGTCCCGTCCACCTAGGCTCCAAGGCTTGTGGTTGTAGGTTCTTAAGGAGGACCGAGTCACCAGGATGAAGGGCTGGTCTTGGGAGTCCTGGTCGGTCGGCTCTGGCTTGGGCAGAAACCTGTTCTCATGTTCTCGGAGCAATTGCCTGGTTAAAGACAGATATGGGAGATACGTACCCAGGGGAGGGGGATCAGTAAGAAGATGGTGGTTGAGCAAGAAGAGTCAAAAGGGCTCAAGAAAATGGGGCTCCTTGGTGTAGCTGGAGTTTGGCCAGGGCCATGGGCAGGAGGTCCGGCCAGGAGCTGCGAATTTCTAGAGAGAGTTTAGTTAGATGGTTCAATAAGTTGGAATTGAGTGGCTATGATGAGGGTTCGAGCCAGTGACAGAAATCCAGCAGGATGTAGAGGAGGAGGGATTGATGTTAGAGAGTAGATGGAAAGTTGTGTTGATGAGGGTGGGCATAGGAGTAGGTCCAGGGTTCGTAAATAGAGAGCGACATTAGAGGATTTCCCATCCAGACAGTAGAATTGATGATTCCCTCATCATTCCGTGTCCGTTTCACCTGAAAATATGAAAAACCTGAGCAAAATTGGAGGGTGCCTTGCCAGGTAAGAGCCTGTGAGGAATGATGGGTCATCCGGTCCTGGATTGTCGCCGAATCTTCTTCGGGGATGGTGGGAGGCACTCGGTGAGCCTGAGAGAGGTAGGTATTGCAGCGAAAGTGGGAGAAAACGTTAGAATGCGCTGATATCCAAAGGAAAATGGAAGGAGCAGTGGAAGCCAGGGACCTGGAGGCTGAAGAAAAGGCAGAGAGGGAGGGAGCAGGTCGCGCAGCCTGTTCCCAGACCTCTAGCCGCTTGGATTTTAAAACTGCCGCATTTTTCCTTTGGGGAGGGTGGAGGGGGATGGGGCGAGGTCAGAGCAGTTTTCAGTTCAGAGGAGGGGACAGTTGTGGTGGAGAGAAGGAGAAAAGGCGTTCACAGCGAAGACTGAGGTAGGCGACGACTGAGCTAGGCTACTGTGGTCTGGGACAACAGGGCCCCATGACAGGATGCAAGGCAGTGGAGGATCGGTGTCCCTGTAAAGGGAGGGGGCCAGGAGTGAGATGATCAGGGAAGCTGAAGGGCTCAGAATGAGCTGCAGAGTGGCCACTAGGATGGTGAGGATGTCTCGTCCTAACAGGGGCATGGGGCATGCTATCATCAAGGAGGCAGGGAAGGGGTCCAGTGGCCAGAGGGCAGGTGGATTTGCCGTCAATACCCATGTCCGAGATCTTGGAAGGATAAAGGGGCCCTAAAAAGGAGGGCAGGACAGAGAAGGCAGCCCCCGTGTCAACCGGGAAGGTGACCTACTACCTTCATTGTGACCCGAGGCTCAGCGAGGGGATTGGAGTCATCGAGGCTGGGCTTCTTCAGTCTTCAGCCAATTCCAACATGGCCAGCGGGTGGTCCTGGACTGGAAGGGTGGTCCCCCCATGCTGAGGCACAAGGGGCCCGCCACTTTTCCAGGGACACTCTTCCAGTGACCATTTTGACCGCATGCCGGGCAGGGCTTGGTCGGAGCTCGGGGCCAGGGGCACTGCATTGCCCAGTGGCCTTCATTTCCACATTTGAAGCATTCTCCGGTGGCGTTCCTTTCGTTGCACCCCCACCGCTCACAGCCCCCTTAGGGCCATGGCGGCTGCCGTCCACCTCAGGGCCACAAACAACTAAGACGTGTCTGCAGGTCTACCTCCTGTGGAAGGCAGGCCTCCCATTCTGACTGTGCCTGCTCCTCCAGGGCATTAAGAACCTTCAAGGCCATTTTTCACTCGATCTCGGACCTGGGTCTGAGGACCAATAAAGACCTTAAAGGTCGGGTTAGAGAGGCTGTTTTGGAGCTGACGTTCTTAGGATTTGGGCTCTAGGGGAGAAGGAAGCTTCTCGTTAAGAGGGTCTGAAGAGAGCACAGCTGCAACCTCTCGCAAAGGGAACTGGTCGGCCACCTGTGAATTAAAGTGCTGGCAGTCATGGGGGCGGAGTGCACAGAGGAAGGCGGACGGTTAGACCTTACAGAGGGCACTGAGTGGGGTACTGGTTACTAAGGCAGGCTGTAAGGGGAGGGGAGAGCGCGGGAGAGGTGGCCTGGGTGGGCTTGGGAGAGGTATCGGCAGTTGAGTTTAAAAGCTGCAACCTCCCAGGGGCAGAACGGGGGAGGAAGGACAGAAGGAAGGTAGAGCCTACGGACACGTGTGTGCACCGACTGGGAAAGCAGGCAGAGGCGGCAGGGGACTTGAGTTGCCGGCTCCCGCAGTGGCTACGGCTTTAGCGGCTGCGGCGGTGCGCGGCGCCGGAGGCATGCAGGGAGGGAGGTGGGGTTGTGAAAGGCGGTTTGAGTTTTCGGCCCGGTGGGGCGGGGGGGGGGGGGGGGGGGGGGGGAGGCGGGGTCATTGGTTCGCAGAAGGCGTGGCTGGAGGAGAGTCCAGCAGGGAGGGAGGAGGGGAGAGTGTGGACGGACTGGGGCACGAGGCCGTGGGAGAGCTGCGGCTTACGCCGGGGGAATTTGTGGTGGCCTCTGGTGAAGGGGGGGTGGGAGAGCATGGAGACAATGATGATGATTACGGCGCTCCGCCACCCACACACAGCACATGAACCCACCCCCACATGCACCGCACACACCGCGGGCTCAGCGGTGCGGGGAGCTGCACGGCGCAGGGACAGCCCGGAGGGAGGAGGAAGGACAGGAGGAGGAGAAATGGCAGAAGGAACTTTGGGGTGGGGGGGGGGGGCGGGGAACGCAGAGAGATGGAGAGAGGCTGAGAGAGAGACTGAGAGAGACTGAGAGAGACTTGGGCAAATTTCCCAGTTCGCTGGCAGAAATTACTGAGGTCGGTGTGACGGTAAAGTCAGGGTCCCGTTTTCATACTGAGGACGCAGGTCCGGGGCAGGCCCAGCATTTAGCCAGATCAGCGAGCAGGCACCCTAGAGGTGTGCTCAGGTCAGGTTTGGAATTTGGATTCCCCCTGTGCTTGATCCCTGTGGCCTGTAGCGGGGCTAAAGGCTGGCGTCCCAGCGGTTTAACCCACGCTACGGAGGGACGGAGGGACCGTGGGCGGGGTAGAGGCATCCCTGCTACCCCCCCAGGTCCGGAGGAGCCTTCCTGGAAGGGTCCGGAGAGGCAATCTCTGACGTGGCCACGGTTTAGGGACAGAGATGCCGGCGGGCGGGCGGCCACATGGGACCGGCACGGGGCAGGGCGGGACTCACCGCTGATGCTGCCAAACTGGGAAAAGTTGCTGAGCTGAAGAGATGAGGTCCTGATGGGTCCAGAGCCACGAGGAGGGAGAGGCGGGCATCCAGAGCCGTGGAGGGACGGACAAAGGGAGTGCTCGCGCCACCCGGGTTTCAAGGCACCAAATGTTAGGTTAGGTGGCTCAGGAGGCGGCGCAAGAAATAGAGTCCAGTGAGTCAGAAAAGAAAGGAAAGGAAAAGGTTTATTCTGCGTCCCCGGGAGACCCACGTACCCCAAGGACAGGGCACGTGGATTCACGCCAACAGGGAGGGGGGCGCTTTTTTTATACTGCGGTTGGGTGAGGGGCGGGGACATGAGCTGAGGAATTCTCTGCTGCAGGGAATGGGCGGAATATTCAGGACGAAGTTCTTATCTGTGTGGGGGTATGTGAATTCAGGGAGAAGAAGCTGGTATCTGTGTCTGGCACCTTGATCTGTGAGAAATTCCAGGGGAAGTCCATTATCTTGTCATGTCTGCATGTATCCGATCCTGGGCTCTCTCCAACCTAACAGCCATATTGATACCGAATTTTTGGACTGGAACCCGGTTTCTTTGTCCGCTGGAAACGAAGAATGAATCCACTCCACGGACAGAAAGTGGAATAGCAAAGGTGGAGATTTATTGAAGAACAAGTACAGACTCCCACGTGGGGAGAGGGAAGAGTCCTACAGAATGGACTCCCACGTAGGGAGGCGAACAGGGTCCCACTGAGTCCCTTTTCTCTAGTTTATAAAGGCTGCAGATCTTTGTGCCTTGATATCCCCTCTGATTGGTCAGTATCCTTTGGTCACTATAGCAACCCTGAGCTCAAAGGTCAATCCTCACATGGGATGTGTGAGGCTCTCCTCCCTCATTGTTCTCCTATTCCCTCTGGGCTTGCTTCCTCCTCATTTTGTAAGTATAGACCTTTCTTGGCTACTTCCAGTTCCCTTGTCTTATGGAAATATACCTGTTGCTACTCCCTTGTCTTATGGAGATGTAGCTGCACCCGGCTCCCTTGTGTAATGGAAATGTACCTTCTCCCAGTCTGCAGCCCCCACCCCCTGCTTTTCCATGGACCCCAATTCTAAAAAATCCCTAAGCCTGCCTATGTTCCCCCCCAAGTCCTGCTTCAGTATCTCAAGGATGTGAAACAATTAGAACTGGGATTCACCCTTTTGACAGTTTTATCAACAGGGCTTCTCATCTTTGATACTGTTGACACTGGCAGGATAATTGTTTGTTGTGCAGGGCTATCTTGTGGATTGTACGATGTTTATTTAGCACATCCTGGCCTCTGCCCACTACATGCCAGTAATACCTTCCAAATCAAACAACAAAAATATCTCCTGCACATCATTTACTGTCCTGGGGGTGGGGGAGCAAAAGGGCCCCCCCCCCCCCTCAAGAGACGACTGGTTGCTCACGTTTCCAACCACCCTATGTTTTGCTGCCTTTGGGGAATTACTCTTCTGCACTTTCCCAACCGAAGCTGGGATGCTGGGTCCAGGACACGGCTGACACTGACTTTGCACTTCTGTGTATTTTCCTCAGTTTCTGCAGTGAACAGCGTTACTTCTACAGGGAACAGCGTTACTTCTACAGGGAACAGCGTTACTTCTGCAATGGGGGAAATTCAGTGAAGTCAAGGACACACCTCATTTTTGAGAAACACACATCTGAATGGTCCTTCTGAGGATTCAACCCTTTGAATAATTCATGGCCTGGGTTAAACTGGGGGAGGGCATTAGGAAGCTTCCAAACCGCTAACCATTCAACAGTTTTACAGTCAATGGCAATCGCATGGCTTTTACCTAGAGTTTGAAAGCTTTTTTTGTCTTACAATTTCAGGGCTTTTGTATTGCAATGTCCTCAATTAGAATACTTTTAGGTGGGAATTCTTAAAGGCAAGATGATTGTATCAAAAAAGCCTTAGACTTTTGCTTAGTGTTTGTTGCTGTTTATTTTATTTTTAATTTTATTTTTAATATATTTCTTTACTAGTTTCAGAGAAGAAGGAAGAGGGAGAAAGAGAAATAGAGACATCAATGATGAGAGAGAATCATTGATCGGCTGCCTCCCGCCTGCCCCCCACTGGGGATCAAGCCCACAACCTGGGCATATGCCCTTGACTGGAATCAAACCTGGGACCCTTCAGCCCGCAGGCCGATGCTCTATCCACTGAACCAAACCAGCTAGGGCTGTTTTATTTTTCAAAATATATTTTTATTGAGTTTAGAAAGAAAGGGAGAGAGAGAGAGAGAGAGAAACATCAATGATGAGAGAGAATCAGCTGCCTCCTGCACACCCACTACTGGGGATCAAGCCCCAAACCTGTGCATGTGCCCTTGACCAGAATCGAACCTGTGACCCTTCCAAAGCTCTATCCACTGAGCCAAACCGGCGAGGGCGCTGTTTATTTTTTGAACCTGTTATCTGAGGCCAGGTAGGTTGCACCTCGCCAAAGACTGTCTCTGCCTCTTTGCCTCTTTGTTGCCCTCAGGTGGAATTAGCTGGTTTTCTATTAAAGGCTGCACAGAGACCCAAGATGTTTGCTTCAAGAGAAGGATGGTCCATGATATCATCCAGACTTCTCACTGCTGCCATCGTCCTTTGTGCAATTTCTGACCCAGAAGTCCTTATCCAAATTGCTTGACTGATCAGTCAGTCTCAAAGCCGGACCTGCTCAGCACAGGATGACAGCTCCCATCCATCCGCCCTCTGCAGAAACTTCAGACCTTTGCAAGTTGTAAAGAGTTATGATCTGAAACCGATGTTAGCTTTCAAGGTGCCCAACTTCTCCCCCACCAACTCCAACTCATCTCAGAAATGTCCTTTCAACACCATCTCTCTCCTCTCCTCTTTCTGCTTAATTCCCCTTCCGATGATCTCATGGCTACAAAGAAGTAAAAATGTGAGTGCTTCCCTGAGTCGAATTATGTACATTGTCTCTAGTTTACTAATTTTCCTAAATATTCCCATAGTTCATAATATAGTGACGAGTGAACTGTAGCGCAAGACACCCAATGACCTGGAAGTGTTCATTTGATTTCCAAAGTGAACTGCTTTGCTCTTTTGGGGTAATTTACGGTATGGAAAAAAAACCGATTTAACAAATACCATAGGAAAAATAAGCCATATATCAGCAAACCAGACCTTACAGAACTATGACCCAAAATGGCAAAGGGCTCAAACAGGTGCAAATTATTTCTCTCATTTGCATCAGGATTTTCCCATATTGTGCATTTCTATACCCTAACCACGCCTAAGTATGTTGGCTTGTCTAATTTTGGCAGATTAAGCAATTCAGCTTGAGCAGGGCAATAGGTTCCCATCCACAAGGAATTAAAAAAAAACAACAACAACACTGCACTTCACATTTTTTAACATGCCACATAATCAATTATTCTCATTCAATGCCCTACTTATGTAACTTCAGGATTATTGTATTTTAACATTTCAACTTGTTTTTCTCTGTATTTTTAGATGCTTGAGAAATTCAAGTCATAAATAATAAATCTCAACCTCCTTCTGTTGTCTTTTTCTCAGAACCTAGGATTCTCACACACAGTGGTCTCTCAACAAATATTTTTCTATAAATTTCAAAGAAAAACAAGCACTAAAAAAAAACTCCAAGGAAACTAGACATTTTCCTCCATACTTATTTCAGGTATGTTTTGTTTTTTGTTGTTGTTAATCCTCAGCTGAGGATATTTTTCCATTGACTTTTAGAGAGAGTGGAAGGAGAGGGAGAGATATAGCAAAACATTGACATGAGAGAGACACATAGATTGGTTGCTCCTGTACACACCCCAACCAGGGCCAGGAGCCTGCAACCAAGGTATGTGCCCTTGACCAGAATCAAACTTGGGACCCTTTGGTGCCGGGAGCCGGTCCATCCTTGCTGTTTCAAGGGACCTGGCATATATGGCATACTGTTCTTAATATGTTTGCTCACCTTCTTGGCACTATGTGTTTTAACCAAGGTCTCCTCTCTGAGAAAGGTTGTTTTCCCAGGTAGGGATTTTCCCCTGAAGTTAGGGAGGGAATAAAAACCCTTAAATAAGTGCCAGGCGGGTAACTATGAACAATCATGCTTAAGCTACATAATCTTTACTCCCTGGAATGGAGATAAAAAAAAAAACGCCCTAACCTTTGGAATAGAGATTGACAGGATTGGAATCAACTGGTATAAATACAGATGTAACAAGACAACAGGACACAGAACCTAGACACAGAACCTAGACACAGAACCTAGGCACAGATCCTACACAGAACCTAGAGACAGAAGAACTTCGCTGGAGAGAACATGGCAAAAGATCCTGGACAGAAACTGGCCACAGAACCTAGACACAGAACCTAGACAGAACCTGGACAGAACCTGGCTGGAGAACCTAGCGAGGGAACATGGCTACAGAACCTGGCTGGAGAACCTACCGAGAGAACATGGACACAGAACCTGGCTGGAGATCCTACCCAGAACTTCGCTGGAGATCCTGACCAGAACGTGGCTAGAGATCCTGGCTAGGCTGCTGATCAACTGAACGCTGTCTCTGTGTCATTCCTTCATTGCCGACTCCGTCCACACCTTTGGGGACCCCTGGACCTGCTGGGGTTGGACCCCGGCGCTTTGGTTCACAGGCCAACACTCTAGCCATTGAGCCAAACCAGCTAGAGCTCAACTATATTTCTTAGATAATTGTTCTGAACACAACCAGCTAGAGCTCAACTATATTTCTTAGATAATTGTTCTGAACACACACACACACACACACACACACACACACACACACACACACACACAGTTTCCTCATCCTGAGATTTAAATCCACTTGCCATTATTCGGTCACTGTATGCATCAGCCACATTGGTAAACAGTGGTTATGCCAAATCAGGGAACTTCATGGAGAGTGTACTTTCTTTTTCTTGTTTTTAAAAATATATCTTATTTACCCAGTACTAAGGGGGGAAATATAACAAGATCAGATCATCTGTGACTAACTCCATAGAGCTTCCCAAATTTAATTTGTGACCCTGGGGATGTACCAAGAGAATTAGGAAGCAGGTGCTACTTTTTTATGTCCTTAGTTGCTGAGCTTGGCAAGTCCCTTTGGTCTCTCTTCACCTCATTCTCCTCACATATAAGATGTGTTAACGTAAAAAACCATTGAAACCTGTAAAGAATTTTTGTGAGTTTATTTGAGCCAAACTGTCGACATATGCCGGGAAGCAGAACCTCAACGAATTGAGATAGTGCTCCGGAGAATGGCAGGGTTACATCCGTATTTACACATGAAATTCATTGGTGACAGATTTAAGGAGGTGGGATTAAGCGAAGCGGGGGAAACCTCTGTGATAGGATAAAAAGTAAAATGATGGACACATACTTAGGTGGGTGCAGGAACAATTAACATGATAAATGAAAGAATCTGCGGCATCTGTTCTGGGCCCAGCACACCTGACCATCCATGCCCCGGGGCTCCAGATACAGGGAAGTCACAAGTTACCCAGACATCCCAAGGACATGTTATCATAGATGCAAAAAGACAGATAGGCTCAGTTACGGTAAAGGTTGACCTTATCAGTGAAGATATCGGCTTAGGACGTAACTGCCCACCATAACTGCTTTTAGTTAAGGTTTAATTTCAGACCATCCTTTGTGGTTACTTTAGGCCTCCGAGTTTGCAAAACTGCCATGCAGGCCTCTCCTGAGCTTGTCAGGTCAGCATGTGGCCCCTTTTGTCCACAGATGAAAAGAATTGGATCATATGATCTCACAGATCCCTTCAAATCCTAATGTTCTTATGACTCGGCACTGACTAACACTTCTTTGCTGTTTTTTTTCTTAGATTTAAAAATAAGACTTGGTGCTGAATACATCCCATAAAATAGGCCCTTGGAGCTCTGTAGATCACCTGGTTGTTATGATTAATGCTCACCTAGCTCTGTGTCACGTAGGAAAATAAAAGAAGTGCAAACCATGCCAGCCCGGACCAGCACTGAGGCAGTTCATGTGCATGCCAATGTCACACACAAGTCACCAAGGGAACAAAATATAGCAGTGGTTCTCAACCTTGGCTGCACATTAGAATCACCTGGGAATCTTTTTAAAATCCTGATTTCTGGGCCTCTTTCCAGAGGATGAAGATTTTAAAAAGATTCCCAGGTGATTCTAATGTGCAGCCAAGGTTGAGAACCACTGAAATATAACTTTCGCATCCTTGATGTGGTAGGCTGAATGATGGCCTCCCAAGGATGTTCATGTTTGAATCCTTGTACACATGTTACTTCACAAGGGATTTTGCAGATGTGCTTAAATGAAGGATTTGGAGATGAGATTCTCCTGAATTACCCCAGGGGCCCAATGTAAGCGCGAGTCTTTATGAGAGGGAAGCAGGAGGGTCAAAAGGAGATTAGAAGATGCTACGCGATTGGCTTTGAAGATGGAGGAAAGGGTGTGTAAGCCAGGAATAGAGGAAACCTCTAGAAGCCGGGAGACTCATGGAAACAGGGTCTCTCCTAGAGCTTCTAGAAAAAAATGTAGTCCTGCAGACATATTTTAGACTTGTGACATCCAGCATGGTGACATGATAGATTGGTGTGTGTGTGTGCGCGTGTGTGCGTGTGTGCATGTGTGGTGTGTTTGTTGTGTGTGTGTTTAATTTAGATATAATTGACATATAACATTATATTAGTTTCACATGTCTGAAATGATTATTTGATATTTGTATACATTATGAGATGATTACCACAAAAAGTCTAGTCAACAACCATCACTATATATATAGTTACAAAAAAACCCCCTGCTTTCTTTTAATATGGCGATTTGCTATTGCAGCCATGGGAAACAATACACTTGATCATGCAAGGGAGGGGATGGTGAGGCGTTTCCTCTCCCCTCAAGGTTGATACATCCAACACTTGGTTTACATGGGATCTGCTTTCAAGAGAGGAACTTCAGTGTCTCAGTGTCATAGTGTATTCCTTTCATTGTACAATTTCTCAGTCATAATTTCCCTAGAAATACACACAGATGTATACAGACATGCATTCGCATCTTATTAGTTTACACCACCCACTCAAGGCCCTATCCATTCAAGATTTCTTTGGCTAACAAGCGTAAATTCTGGTGGTCTTGATCCGGCATCAGGAAGGGTTCAGAAATCTGGAGAAGGCGCTGTGTGTAAATTAAATAAGAGTCCAGAGACAAAACATAATTTTGAAAGGCATTATGGGGAGTCAGAGAAGACTTAGCTAAAGGAACTAAGTTCTCCTTGTCTCAGGACCCCTTGCTATTTACTAACAAATTGTCCTGAGGCAAGGTGGAGATATACACATCAAAGGATAGGGTTAGGCCGAAACCGGTTTGGCTCAGTGGATAGAGCGTCGGCCTGCGAACTGAAAGGTCCCAGGTTCGATTCCGGTCAAGGGCATGTACCTGGGTTGCAGGCACATCCCCAGTGGGAGATGTGCAGGAGGCGGCTGATCGATGTTTCTAACTCTCTCTATCTCTCTCCCTTCCTCTCTGTAAAAAATCAATAAAATATATTAAAAAAAAAAAAGTCTGAAATTTTTTTTAAAAAAAAAAGGATAGGGTTAGGTACAGAATCCATTGTCAGATTGGGAAT